GCAAGCAACGGTGTTGATACCATAGGAATTTTAAGGTTTAGTGACAGCAGCAATTTAATTTTTTTACTTGCTTTACTTACAACAAGCAAACAACGGTGTTGACACCACAGGAATTTTAAGGTTTAGCGACAGCAGCAACTTAGTTTTTTTACTTGCTTTACTTAAAACAAGCAAGTAACGGTGTTAACACCGTCAGAATCTTAGGGTTTAGCGACAGCAGCAACTTCGATTTTTTACTTGCTCTACTTAAAACGAGCAAGCTTAGCGGCAGCAGCAGCTTCAATGTTTTACATGCTTTACTTAAACCAATCAAGCAACGGTGTTGACACCATTGTAAATTTAAGGTTTAGCCACAACAACAACTTCAACGATAACTTGCTATACTTAAAACAAGCAGGAAACGGTGTTCATACCGTAGAGAATTTAAGGTTTAGCAACAGCAGGAACGTCAATCTTTTATTTGCTTTACTTAACACCGGAACGAATGCTCATCACGGCGGCACCGAGCAGTCACAAGACCACCCTACTGGAATGGTGTCAAGGCCGAACAACAACATTCTCGTGCTGGCCTTCAACCGGGCAGTTAAACAAGCGTCCTCGTTCACATAGCAAAACCCACCGCATAAAATTTCTGGAATTGATTTACTTAAAACAAGCAAGCAACGGTGTTGACACCATAAGGAATTTAGGGTTTAGCGACAGCAGCAACTTCAATCTTCTCCTTGCCTTACTTAAAACAAGTAAGCAACGGTGTTGACACCATAGCAAATTTAGGGTTTAGCGACAGCAGCAACTTTAGTCTTCTGATTGTGTTGCTTACAACAAGAAAGCAACGGTGTTGACACCATAGGAAATTTAGGGTTTAACGACAGCAACAATTCCAATCCTTTACCTGCTTTACTTGAAACAACCAAGCAACGGTGTTGACACCATAGGAATTTTAAGGTTTAGCGACAGCAGCGGCTTCAATGTTTTACTTGCTTTATACAAGCAGTACCCACAACAGTTGAAGCTGCGGTCACGCCATCGCTTTACGACAGCAAGTAGAGCTGTTGCATGTCATGACTTGAATCTCCTCACAAGTTTCTTTGCGATGACCGTTCAACCACTAGCCAGTGACCTTGCCGTTCGACGACAGCAATCATAGGTCTCTTTCCTTCAATTTATGTGTCCTCGTTCACATAGCAGAAACCACCGTAAAAGATTTTTTGCATTGATTTACTTGAAACAAGCGAGCAACGGTGTTGACACCATAGCAATTTTAAGGTTTACCGACAGCAGCAACCTAAAAAAGCTTACAACAAGCAAGTAACGGTGTTAACACCATGAGATATTTAGGGTTTAACCAACAATTCCAATCCTTTACCTGCTTTACTTGAAACAAGCAAGCAACGGTCTTGACACCATGGACAATTTAGGGTTTAGCGATAGCAGCGAAGTTTGATGTCGTCTGAGGGTAACGAAAAAAACTTTCTAACTCTTATGTTTTGGGATTCTTTGGGTGGGTGGGTATTCTTCCAAGTTCTTACAAGCGAACTTGACTAGAGATTGCTCGACCAGAGCTGCTGAACCCTAAACCCTAAACCCTAAACCCTAAACCCTAAACCCTAAACCCTCTCTCTCAAATGAGTATTTAAATGTTGAGCCATTTTTTCGGCACGGACCCCCCAATGTTGAGCCAATTTTTCGGCAGGACCCCCCAATGCTGAGCCAATTTTTCGGCAGGACCCCAATGTTGAGCCAATTTTTCGGCAGGACCCCCCAATGTTGAGCCAATTTTTCGGCAGGACCCCCCAATGTTGAGCCAATTTTTCGGCAGGACCCCCCAATGTTGAGCCAATTTTTCGGCAGGACCCCCCAATGTTGAGCCAATTTTTCGGCAGGACCCCCCAATGTTGAGCCAATTTTTCGGCAGGACCCCCCAATGTTGAGCCAATTTTTCGGCAGGACCCCCCAATGTTGAGCCAATTTTTCGGCAGGACCCCCCAATGTTGAGCCAATTTTTCGGCAGGACCCCCCAATGTTGAGCCAATTTTTCGGCAGGACCCCCCAATGTTGAGCCAATTTTTCGGCAGGACCCCCCAATGTTGAGCCAATTTTTCGGCAGGACCCCCCAATGTTGAGCCAATTTTTCGGCAGGACCCCCCAATGTTGAGCCAATTTTTCGGCAGGACCCCCCAATGTTGAGCCAGTTTTTCGGCAGGATTCCCCAATGTTGAGCCAGTTTTTCGGCAGGACCCCCCAATGTTTTTTTCGGCAGGACCCCCCCAATGTTGAGCCAGTTTTCCGGCAGGACCCCCCAATGTTGAGGCAGTTTTTCGGCAGGACCCTCCAATGTTGAGCCAGTTTTTCGGCAGGACCCCCCAATGTTGAGCCAGTTTTTCGGCAGGACCCCCCGTCCCACCAGTGTTGCACCAGGCTTTCGTCAGGACCCCAGGGTTTGGGCTCTAGGGTTTAGGGCCTAGGGTTTGAGCTTTAGGGTTTAGGGCCTAGGGTTTGGCCTAGGGTTTGGGCTATAGGGTTTAGGGCCTAGGACTTTGAGGTTTAGGGTTTAGCGCTTGGGCTTTAGGGTTTAGGGCCTAGGGTTTGGGCTTTAGGGTTTAGGGCCTAGGGTTTGGGCTTTAAGGTTTAGGGCCTAGGGTTTGGGCTTTAGGGTTTAGGGCCTAGGGTTTGGCCTTTAAGGTTTAGGGCCTAGGGCCTAGCATTTGGGCTTTAGGGTTTAGGGCCTAGGGTTTGGGCTTTAGAGTTTAGGGCCTAGGGTTTTGGGCTTTAGGGTTTAGGGCCTAGGGCTTTAGGGTTAGGGTTTAGCGCTTGGGCTTTAGGGTTTAGGGCCTAGGATTTGGCTTTTAGGGTTTAAGGCCTTGGGTTTGTTTGGGCTTTAGGGTTCAGGACCTAGGGTTTGGGCTTTAAGTTTAAGGCCTAGGGTTTGGGCTTTAGGGTTTAGGGCCTAGGGTTTGGGCTTTAGTGTGTCATGCTTCTTTCTGTAAGGCAGAAAAGATGACACATATCCGGCCTGAAATGTGTCATGCTTTTTTCTGTAAGGCGGAAAAGATGACACATTTCCGGCTTGAAATGTGTCATGTTTCTTTCTGTAAGGCGGAAACGATGACACTCTGCAAGGCGGAAAAAATGACACATTTCCGGCCTGAAATGTGTCGTGCTTCTTTCTGTACTGCAGCAATAGAAACATAAGTATATGCTAGAAATCAAGGCGTAGGGTTTGAGGTTTGATGTCGTCTGAGGGTAACGAAAAAAACTTTCTAACTCTTATGTTTTGGGATTCTTTGGGTGGGTGGGTATTCTTCCAAGTTCTTACTAGCGAACTTGACTAGAGACTGCTCGACCAGAGCTGCTGAAACCCTAAACCCTAAACCCTAAACCCTAAACCCTAAACCCTAAACCCTAAACCCTAAACCCTAAACCCTAAACCCTAAACCCTAAACCCTAAACCCTAAACCCTAAACCCTAAACCCTAAACCCTCAAGCAAATGATAAATAGAAATTGTACGGCAGTACGACTTGTTACGGCCAAGAGTGGGCCAGAATGAGCCACCAAGATCCGGCAGTACGATTGGATGCGGCCAAGAGTGGGCCAGAAAGAGCCACCAAGACCCGGCAGTACGATTTGTTACGGCCAAGAGTGGGCCAGAAAGAGCCACCAAGTGAGAGAAAGGCATAGGACGAAGAAATGCAGATGCAAAATGCGTACTACAAACGTCTGGCCAATATGACGGTGAAGTACCTGAACATGAAGGGCGACGAAGCTGATACCTCAAGGCCCTACCCGTCCTGCCAGAACGAGATTTTTTCCAGTTTTTCCAAAAGCAAAAGGAATCTCGATGGTCGAGGCACCGAGATTCCTTCCAGCTCTTCCAAAAGCAAAAAAGAAGAATCTCGAAGGTCGAGGCTTGGAAATTCGTTTTGCTCTTTGGAAGAGCTCGAAGGAATCTCGGTGCCTCGACCTTCGAGATTCCTTTTGCTTTTGGGGAAGAGCTCCAAGGAATCTCCAAGGTCGAGGCTTCGAGATTCCTTCTAGCTCTTCCGGAAGAGCAAAAGGGAGTCCGGAGCGCCGAGGTTTCGAGATTCCTTTCCAGTTCTTCCCCAAGAGCGAAAGGAATCTCGAAGGTCGAGACTTGGAGATGCCTTTCCAGCTCTTCCCCAAGAGCGAAAGGAATCTCCAAGCCAGAAAGCAAAACAGAAACCCGCACAGATTTCGCTCAAAACCCGCCCAAAACCCGCTCAAAATTCGCTCAAAACTTCGGACCTGAACACTATACAATTTCTATAAACCCTAAACCCTAAACCCTAAACCCTAAACCCTAAACCCTAAACCCTAAACCCTAAACCCTAAACCCGAAAACCCTAAACCCTAACCCTAAACCCGAAAACCCTCAAACCCTTAACCCGAAAAGCCTTAGCGTCCGCAAGGGTTGGTTTCAGTAAATTGAAAGAGTTGCCCCCCACGAGGGTTTAAGTAAGTTGAAAGGTTTAAGTATATTGAGAAGGTTAGCCCCCACGAGGTTTTAAGTAAATAAGATGACTCAAACAACCTGGTTTCAGTAAATTGCAAGAGTTGCCCCCCCCCCCCCCCCCCCCCCCCCCCCCCCCCCCCCCCCCCCCCCCCCCCCCCCCCCCCCCCCCCCCCCCCCCCCCCCCCCCCCCCCCCCCCCCCCCCCCCTCCCCCCCCCCCCCCCCCCCCCCCCCCCCCCCCCCCCCCCCCCCCCCCCCCCCCCCCCCCCCCCCCCCCCCCCCACTCCCCCCCCCCCCCCCCCCCCCCCCCCCCCCCCCCCCCCCCCCCCCCCCCCCCCCCCCCCCCCCCCCCCCCCCCCCCACCCCCCCCCCCCCCCCCCCCCCCCCCCCCCCCCCCCCCCCCCCCCCCCCCACACCCCCCCCCCACCCACCCCCACCCCCTCTTACCACTAGTTCGCCCTCGCACCGTGAGCGTCGTTCGTGAGCCACCGAAGCCCCACCCGTTACCCGCAGTTTCCTCTCGAGCAAGCATGTTCCATCTCTCGTGCCCCCATGAACGGACCTCGTTCGCTAGCTTGGTGCATGTCCTGGGGTCTCTGGACCTTCATGCTGCTCTCGAGCCTCTTCGAGCACGGGGCGTTAAGTCTGCTAGTGAGCTCGAGAACACCCCCAAGACACAGCTGCGGCTGTGGATCGGTGACACTGCCGTCGACAAGCTGTTCAACCGTTCAGTGGTTCGCACTCGGGCGAGGGCAGATGCCCCGGTGGTACACCCGTACCAACGCGGTTCGCGCAGTGCGGCCGCGTCAGTGCAGTCAGAGAGCGCGCTGGCGCTCGCAGATGTCGCGTTTCAAGAAGACAAGTTCGCTAAAACCTCCAGGGGCCCCAGAGAATCTCGCTGGAAGCTTTGGTGCTCCCTCGCGGAACAGAGGAACCTGCCCCCTCTCCCGGTTACGGTCGAGCTTATCGACAAGGTCGGCGCCCTTCTCAAGCAAGCACGTTACCGTTCGGCAGCCCAGTACTATAGCGTGGCAAAAGGGGAACACCGGGCGCAGGGACACGATTGGTCGCCTGCCCTGGACCACGCAGTTGCTCAAGCAGTTCGGTCGATCACGAGGGGCATGGGACCTTCGGCAGCCAAACTGGATTTCCCTCTGGAGGCGTGCTCCAGGCAGTTCGACAGCGATATCGAGGCAGCATATGCACGCCTGCAAGTGCCGTCGGCCGCGAGGATCGACTACCCCTCAGACACAGGCCTTGTGGCCGCATGGTTTCTCCTTCGCGGACTCGAGATCTCCTCTGTCTTGTGCGAGGACGTCAGCTTTTCTCGGGAAGGGATCGTTAGGCTCAACCTCCCGATCTCCAAGACAGATCCCACGGCTAGAGGTTGCCATCGGTCGCACGCCTGCATCTGTTCGCGAACACATGACCCAGGTTGTGGCCGCAGTGGTGACGAGGCCCTCCTCTTCACGCCCTTGCAGCAATGCAACTGTTCCCTTGGCAGGAACCCACTGTGTGCATATCATGCGGCATTGCGATGTTCGATCCGACTCCGCAAGCAGGGTCGCTGGAGTTCGAAGTCACCCTTTTTCGGTGATGGTTCGGGCCCACCGACCAAAGCCCAGGTCGTGTGGCTGGCCCGCGTGTTCGCATGGGTCCTGTGCGCAGGCGACCTTCACGAGTGGCCCCGTCAAGTTCTGCAGCGGTGGGCCCAACACGCCTTCCGCGTCGCCGGCGCCCAACTGTTCGCACGGGCCGACCTCGACCTACATGTCATCATGCTGCTGGGTCGATGGGGAAGCGCCGCTATTTATCGTTATGTTCAGGAGGCTGCCCTGGCGAACCCTTCCCGGGCATCACAGGCAGTTGCCCTCAGGACTTCAGCTGTGCCCCCAGGTTCGCAAGCTCCGAGATCAGGCCATCTGGCTCTATTGCCGGCAGCTCTCGACCAGATCAGGGCAGTGGTCGCCGATTGTTTTCGAGGACAGGGCGTTCTTGTACATAATGTTCGCTCCAAACTGGCACACAAGCCTTTTGCTAGTGAGTGTTCGACCCCCTCTGACAAGTGGCGGTCCGCGTGCGGTCTGTGGAAGTACGGGAAAGCAAGTTGCCAAAGGAACCCCACGCTTTTGCCAGGTTTTCGCTACTGTCCAGTGTGTTTTCCCGAAGAGACCCCGTTCGCGCTTACTCTGCAGCCTCAAGCACCAGCCCCCGAGGGATCTGACTCATCCTCAGATTCATCGGAATAGGTCGCCTGCGATGGCGACGACGGCAACCTTCGACGAGTTGTGCGACAAGGCCGCAGTGCACCCGACGGTTCGCTTGCTCTTCAAGGCCAGAGGGGTCGACGTACCAGGAGTTGTACACCACCTCTTCTCGGACCGCTCCAAGATCCAGGCTTTCCTGGATCCGCTGAGGACAGGCGTCGAGTTGGCGGGAGACACAAAGAAGCGGTCGGCCGACGAGCTCTTGATCGACCAGGCCACCGTTCTCGAGCTGCTGGACGTGATAGCGGCGACAAAGACAGCAGCCTCCCCAGCAGCCCCGGCCGCACCGGCAGCTTCGACTACGTCGACGAGTTCGTCGGAGAAGTCCCAGGAGTTGCCAGCCGGCTACTGGAACGACTTCGTGACCGAGTACGAGGCCGCGGTGGTCGACGGCAGGAACCGCAAGTTCCCGGCTCACTTGTTGGTAGGATCCGAGAAGACCTTGGGCCGTATGGTCGCAGAGAAGAAATCAGGGCTATACACCGCGCTGGCCCTCGGCGAGATTCTCTTTTCGCGCCATTTCACAGCATCCAAGCAGGTTAACCCGTTCTCGTCTACGACAAAGCCGGAGACCTCTACCAAGCTGTTCGCGTCAGAGGATGGCACCCTCTCCAAGGTCGCAAAGACGATACCAGAGCCGCAAAGACTCGTCACTATGCTGGACGCATTCGAGGCCTGCAAGTTCGCCTTCATGTTCGCACGTTGGGGCCCGAACCCGGAGGTTGCAGTTGCAGACTACTTCGCCTTCTGGGAAGATTTGACGAGGGACAACCCGTCAAAGTTCGGCCAGATTCGCCTGTACTGGAAGAAGGCGTCCTGGGAAATGGCCATGGCCCTGCGCTCCGGGAAGACGTTCGCGCAGGCTGCCGCCGAGGTGACCTCCCCGCAGGCCAAACAAGACGCTATGAGTCGCTGGGTTCCAGCGGAACGCCCCTTCAAAGGCAACGAGAAGGGAGGCGAGAAGGGCAAGAAGGGCGAAAGGGCTCTGGCAAAGGCAAGTTAGGCCGCCCTTCCCCATACTGGCAGCAGCAGCCCCCCCAATCCAGCGGATGGGGACAGCAACAACCCAGTCAAGCACGACCCCAGTGTCGCCTGTTCGCTGCCGGTTACTGCAGGTTCGGTGCTAGCTGCAAGTTCGCACACGGGGGTCAGTCTGCGCCCCAAGGGAGTGTCCCTCCCCCACCGTCCAACTAGGGACAGCTCGGACCGCTTCAGCCGTCGGGGGCGACACCCGCCACAAGAACAGACGGTAATCCTACCCCGCCCGTAAGTAGGCCCCTAATCCCTAACCCGTGTGCTCCGCCTTTGGCGCAGTAATCCCTGGTAACAGGTTAGGTCCGCAGGTGCCGAGTCGTTGCAGCAGCCAGGTTCAGACCGCGCGATCACAGTTCGCGCCCCGCCGAGTCGGAGAGGGGACACAGCACCAGGCTTCCACATCCGACCCCTCGGCAGCTTCGCCTCAAGCCAAGCCACCCTTCCCACCTCCTCCCCCTGCTCCAGGCCGCAGCAGAGGTACAGGTGCAGGCGACTCCTCTACACAGTCACGCACACCGGTCGTGCTGACCCCCAACTCTTCCACACAGGCGTCGATGTCTCATGTGACTCCGCCCAAGCAAGTTCCACAATACGCGTCGCAGCCTCGTGTGGCTCCGCAACCTGATACGGCTCAGCAAGCGTTGCAGCCTCATGTGGCTCCGCCTAACACCCACAGCCAACCACCCGCCAGTCCGGCACCACTTCCAACACAACAACCCCGCTTCCCGGTCGCCGTGCTTAGTTTCTTCGACGGCATAGCCACGGCCCTGCACGCCGTCAAGAGCTGGGCGATACGTCCTGTCCTCTCGTGGTCTTGGGAGCTTGACCCGGAGGCCATCAAGGTCGCGTCTTCTCAGCATCCTGAGATGATTCACCATGGCGACGTCTTTGGTCGCAAACCTCACGAGGTCCTCGCTGCTCTTTCAGCCTCAGTTCCCAAGGATACGGTGGTCCTACTCTTTGCAGCTCCCCCGTGTCACGATTTTTCCCGGATCCGCAGCGATCCGCCAGGCACACAAGGTCACGAAGGCTCCAAGTTCACTAAGTTCGCCGCCTGGTTGCTGGAGTTCGTTCAGTCTTCTAGTTTTCGGGTTCTGTTTCTAGTAGAGAACGTGCACATGTCCGCTTCCCAGCAGCAAGAACTCGACAAGGCTCTTAACTGCCGTGCGTTCGCTTGCGACGCGTCCAGCTGGGGAGTCGTGTCACGACCGAGACTCTGGTGGTCGAACGCGGTGTGTCCTCCCTTGGAGAATATACGCGAACCACCGGTCGCTCTAGGAGGCCAAGCACGTTGGCGACGCCTTAACAGACACTGGGAACTTTTGCCGAATAGCACTCTGTTTCCCCGACAGGTCGCTCAGTCCTGCCCGTTTGCTACTTTTAGTGAGGAGGTTGTTTCGGGTCGCATTAGGTTCCCTTGCCTTACCACGCCGGCTGAGAACACACAAGGCCGCGAGCCCCCAGGTAAGAAGCGCCGCTCCGAAAGTCCAGGCACAATGGAGCGCTGGAGAGCAGCCAGCCGCTCCTACCCCCCGTGGCAGTTTCGCACACACGCCTTGGTTAAGGTCGCAGGCAAGAAGGACTTACCCGACCCGGCTACCCGGGAATGGCTGCAGCTCCTTCCCAGCGGGTACACAGCGGCCGTGTCCCCACACGCCAGGGCGCGGCTACTTGGCAACGCGTGGCACGCAGGAGTCGCCAGACTTCTCGTGCTCATGGTCCTGTGCCAGGCAGGAGTGATGGATGCACACCCAGTTCGCGCTACGGAGTGGTACCCCCATGTGCCAGACCCTTGCTTCCAGGTCCGGTGGCATCCCGACGGGAGCCGCCCGCTGCAACGAGTCGCCTCCTGGTGGCTACGGTCCTCATTGCGATGGGACCCCAATGAGCCTCAGGCTGACGAACTCCGTTCCCCAGGTTTGGGCGCGACAGCACACGCCCAGCGGGCGCAACTGTTGACGTTCGCAGACATATTCCCAGCACCCCTGAACCCCTGCTTAGCGTGGACCTTCCAGGTGCAAGCAAGGTTAGGCCTCAAGGTGGTACAAGTTCGCGAAGCTGTACTTCGGGACCTGCAAGACCTGGTCGCAGAGTTGCAGGACGACCAGACTGAAGCACTCCAAACCCTGCCTGCGCACGTAGCTTCAGTCTACAAACAAGGTTCGACACAACTCCGGTTCCAGCTCCTGCCTCTGGCGTGGCTGCTCGAACTGTGCCAGTTTCCAGGTCGCAGCGAGCTACTGACCGAGTTGTTCTGGGGTTTCCGCTTGTTAGGCCCTGTAGTTCGGGGTTCCGGCTGGCTTAACAGGGACGACGCTAAGTACGCACGCCCCCTTTCCAAACAAGACTTCCTGGTCGCTAACAGAAAGCTTGCAGTTACCTTGAGACAGCCCTCCAGGCAGCCCGAACACAACGATCCTATGCTCGCCGAGCTGGAGAAGGAACGTGACCTAGGCCGCGTGCAAGGCCCGCTCCCCTTATCCCTCCTTGGGACGGAGCAGGAGCCATCTTCTATTCAGGTCGCTCGAGGTTTTGCCGTTGTGCAGAACGACAAAGTTAGGCGTGCAGACGACTGGCTGAGGTCGCTCCATAATAGCACCATTTCGGCAGCCGACACTCCGCCATACCTCGGAGGCCCGACAGTTGTGGGCGGGGCGCTACAGTGTTCAGAGACTTTCGACGAGCCAGTGCTCCTGGGCGCCATCGACCACGAAGGGGCCTACAGGTCGTTACCAGTGCGCGAACCCACAGAGTGTGGACTGGTGATGCCAGGAGAGTCTCCGAGCTTATGGGCCCACAACGCCCTTCCCTTCGGGTCGGTTGGCTCCGTATGGGCTTACCTTCGGGTCGCTGACGTCGTTTCGTTCCTGACCATCACGCTGCTTCTGATGTTCGCAGCCCACTACGTCGATGACTTCTTTTCTCTCGAGCGATCCAGGACAGCCTTGTCCGGGTTCGCAGTCTTTCAAGCGTTCCACAGAGTCCTGGGTTTCCGCATGAAGGAAGAGAAGTCCAAGGAACCTCGGTTCGCCCAGACACTGTTGGGCATCGAATGGACGCTCACCGCCGAGGCTATCCTCGCCTCCCCCGGAGCTCGCAGGGTGGAGAAGCTGGTGCAAACTATCAACGAGTTTCTTTCAAGAGGTCGCATCTCAGCATCCGAATGCTCACAGCTGACAGGCAAGCTTTGCTTCACGTGCACATGGGTCTTCAACCATGTGGGTCGCATGCTGCTCCAACCCCTTTACCAGAGGCAGCATCATGGTTCACCTGGCTCGAGTCCGCTGACTCCCAGGTTGCAGCAAGCACTACACCAACTGAGAGACCTTTTACCGAGGTTGCAGCCCAGACGGTTCGCAGTGAACCCAGACGAGCGCAGTCGGCCGGTCGCACATTTGTATGCTGATGCATTCCTGACAGTACACGGAGTTCGCCGTGTTGCTAACAAGTGGCTGCCAGAGCTCCCGCCGGCTCAAGAGCTTCGCACGGCCACCAACGGCTTTGGTGCGATCGTGTTTTTGCCGGGTCGCCGTCCTTTGGGATTCAGAGGCGAGGTACCCTCGTCAGTTCTAGCCAATCTGGCCGCCTCCCGGGCATATATATATATATTGGTTAGAGGCATTAGCACAGCTGATGTCGCTGGCGGTCGTTTGCAATCTTTTCGACACCCACGTGTGTTGTTGGATTGACAACACTGCAGCGGAGCACGCGCTCAATAAGGGCTACTCCAAGGACCTCAGACTCTCGGCTGTCATTGGAGCTTTTTGGGTTTGGGCTGCTTCAAGGTCGTTGTCAGTTTCGTTTCACAGAGTTTCGAGCGAAGAGAACATCTCCGACGGCATCTCGAGGGGAGACCTCGGTGACCTACAGTCCGCTAACGGGGAGTTCCACGAGGTTTCCTTCAAGGAAGTCTGGCCGCTGCTTGAACACTTTCGCGACGACTGCCGGAGCTACTACGAAGAGTTCGCTCAGTTGGTCGAAGTCTTGGCGACACAACTTCGCTGACGCGCACAAGGGTGGCTTCACAGTGCGCTTTGGGTGGCTAGTTCGTTGCGCCTCCTGTGAAGCTTTTTCGTTTCGGAACTTTACAGTTCGAGGTCGCAGCGAGCTGACGACCTAGTTCGCCACCATCCGGAAGGGAAGAGTGGACAAAAAGTGTTCGTCCGTGCGTCTGCACTCAAGCTTGTGAAGCATAGCTTGTCGTGCAGAACACGTGTGTTCGTAGTGACAAGCGTAGCGAGAACTTTCCGAGCTGAACGTTCGCAGCCCTCGCAGTGCGAAGGCCCGAGGAAAGTGCGAGCGGTAGAGTTTTTGCTTTTCCCACCTCTCCCACCCGGAAGTACAGAGTCCGGCTAGTTCGTTGCGCCTCCTGTGAAGCTTTTTCGTTTCGGAACTTTACAGTTCGAGGTCGCAGCGAGCTGACGACCTAGTTCGCCACCATCCGGAAGGGAAGAGTGGACAAAAAGTGTTCGTCCGTGCGTCTGCACTCAAGCTTGTGAAGCATAGCTTGTCACTTTATTCTGCAGATCACCTCCGCAGCATGCCGAGGCAGACAGACGAGGAAGTGTTCCATCGCACATGAGAGATGCCTTGGGCCTGCGCGCCACATCGCTGGCCGAACACTGCGCTATGTCCACTCTGGAATGAGCCGAGTACGAGCCTGAGTTGTTTTGCACGGCATACGATGGCAAAGTAGCTGGCTTGTATGCTTGAAGGCGACTACCTATATGAGTATAGCTAGACTATCGTTAGTTGATCCTTGTCCTGCTGCGGTTTTTGAGCATCCTACGTCCTGTATTAACACCTCTTTTGTGGCGTCATTTGCTGTCGCAAACGAGGTGTTGCGGAAGCGCTCGCGCCGACAGGCTGTATTGTGCAAGTGGCCCACTCAAAGCTCAGCATGACATCATATGACTGAACGTGAGACTGTCTGCAGTTGAAAAGCTTGTGGGCTGTGCCGAAGCGTGCAACGTTCGTAGAGTCAGCATCTCAGCATGTGTGGCACATTCCGCCAGGTGTCTTAATTCCTCAATTTTGCTTTTGCTTACGTCAGGCGGACATTCCAAATCCAACATCCTGACATGGTGGTCCGCTGCAGCAAGTCTCCTGTTTCCTGCGCGGTCGGGTGGGGTTCGCGGCTTAGACTTGGCGCCATGTAGAACGCAATTCCATTCTCAATGCATATCCAGGTACCGTCACAGATCGCAAAAACTGCCTGCAGGCGAGCAGCTTGAAAGGGGGGTGCTCGTGAATCAGCCCGAGTCCAAGCTCCAAGTCGTTTTGTTGTGCTTTCACAGGGGAGGCTGGCAAGGCTACATTATATAATCTTGCGTCATGTGGCGGCCGATGTGCATGCGATTTGCCGTTCCTAGCTGCCAGCCCTGAGGCACTCCACAACTCATGAGGAAACAAAGGAGGCCCAGGCAGGCGACATGATCGCTGCCGTGGGCTTAGACACCATCTCCAGCGGCATCCTTTGCGCCGACGCAGTCGGCAGGGATGCAGAGGTTGAGGTGCTCGCAAAGGTAGCTGAGGACGCTTTCTGCTTCAGTCGCCAGCAGGAGTCGAATCAGACCATTATCGAGGTTGTGGGCGAACTGGACAAGCTGCACTTGGAGATCCTGATTGACCGCCGTGAGCGCGAGTTCAAGATCGAGGCCAACATTCGCAAGCTGCGGGCTCACCGAGAGATCACGAACTTATTGGAGCTTTGGTGCACGCGCGAGAAGCAGGCCGGCCAACCTGTCAAGCTGCGCATGTCCTTCGAGCCCAGCCCTGGGGAGGCCTTTGAGATCTCAATCGCTTCCAAGGAGTACGTGCCTGCAGCGATCAAGGGCACAGAGCGCGAGTTTCTGAACGGTGGGCGCGCGGGCTCCCCGGTCGTGGACATCAGTGACGTCAAGACCGAACGGGGCGGCTTCCGCCCGGTGGAATCTTCTGCCATTACCTTCGAGATTGCAGCTTATTGCGTTCGTGTGTCCAGACCGGCGCCCTTGCAAGCGCAACTGTTGCAGCAAGCTGTGGCCCAAAATGTATGGCGGCCTTTGTGTTGTCTAGCCACCGCTCATAGCAACGCTATGCCCATCGTATTTGGGCGTGGCCGCTGCATCGGCTTCATCGATACCCCCGGCCACGAAGACTTCACATGGCTGGTGGAGGGCTGGGACAGCCCCCTTTCTGTTGCTGATGTTGCAGGGATTGAGCTTGAGAGGGAAACCGTCTGGCGCGAGGCTCGTTACAAGTACAAGGTTGCGCATGTATTTGTCGCGATAATGGTCGAACAGCTTGACGCGAACCCCTTCTCCATTCAGTTGCTCGAGAAGGCTATGGAGCAGGACGAGGAAGTTCTCGAGGCCTACCTTGCATCTGGTAAGGCATCCTTGGAGATGCCTCTGATGTGCATCCGTAAGGGCGCCATATTCAATCCAAGGACCCCGAGTGCTCCTGCATCTCCAGCGAAGCCACATTGTATGACATGTGCAGCAGCTTGTTTACGCTCGCTGTCCCAGGACCAAGCCAGAGGAGCGTATGTCAGATGAGCGCATGGGCCGAATGGTTTTGATGCCGCTTGGCCGACTGTCGCAGGAAATTCTTGCGTCATGTGGCGGCCGATGTGCATGCGATTTGCCGTTCCTAGCTGCCAGCCCTGAGGCACTCCACAACTCATGAGGAAACAAAGGAGGCCCAGGCAGGCGACATGATCGCTGCCGTGGGCTTAGACACCATCTCCAGCGGCATCCTTTGCGCCGACGCAGTCGGCAAGGATGCAGAGGTTGAGGTGCTCGCAAAGGTAGCTGAGGACGCTTTCTGCTTCAGTCGCCAGCAGGAGTCGAATCAGACCATTATCGAGGTTATGGACGAACTGGACAAGCTGCACTTGGAGATCATGATTGACCGCTGTGAGCGCGAGTTCAAGATCGAGGCCAACATTCGCAAGCTGCAGGCGCACCGAGAGATCACAGAGCCAGTGGAGCGATGATTTGGGGCCGTCTTTCTGCTGCAGCCTGAAACTCCAAAGTAATCCAGAATAACTTAATTAGGCTTACTTGCTTGATGTCATGTCCATTTGCAGTGCCACCGCTTTTCTAGGCAAAGGAAGCACCGCGGAGGTTTGCACCCCTGCAGCTCATGTAGCGCCCTTTTTCAGAGCGTGTCCGGTAAGTAGCTGAGCCTGCAGCTTTGCAATTTCGCAGTAGGTATTTCAGACTTTGCTGAGAGAAAATTCTGGGGTTTTATTCAGGGTTATTTTGAGAACGTCGCCTCTCGTAGTGGAAGCTCCTCTTCTGGGTCGGATGGGGACCTGAATGGTTTGGTTAATGAGTAACTCGGACGACCCAGTCCCGAAATCGTGTCTGATGACTTTGCTTTGCCAGGCAAAGCGTGTGGTGTGGAGTTCGGGCCTCAACTTATATGAAAACCTGAAGAGAAGCAAAGCAATCGCGAAGCGACGCGACACATTGTACAGTAGTTATCCCCAGTGTGCGGCCCGGCTGGACTCACCGGCGTGGCGCTTCATGAGTGCTCGCCAGTCTGGGTGCGGCGCGGCTGCTCACAAATCTAATGTCTACGACGAATTCAACAGACATATTGGTCCGGACGGACCGCCACCTTGCTTCCCAAGGCCGCCTGTAGAATTTGGTGCACTGGAAGAGTGACGATGTTAGACCAATTAGACCAAAAAAAGAAAAAAATGGAGGATGCCAGCAGTGCAGCTGCATAAATCTGGAATCTGTGTGCACTTTGCATTGCTTTGCCCCGCTAGCCCCGCTTGCCTTGAATTCAACACCAAATCCTCTGCTGAAGCGCTACAATCTGGGCTGCACAGGCTGCTAAGCCACGTCGAGGCACAGCCGAGTGAATTGTCAAGGGGCTCTATATAATGTCTGCGCTGCAATGCAGATGACTTTCTGTCCTTTCTCCGGAAATGAGTCTTCCAGTTCTCTTTTTCTGATCTGATGCTGCATCATTCTTAGTGTTTGGTTCGAAGGGCCGGAAGATTGACAGATTGAGTCCCTGCTTCTTGTCCTTCTGCCCTTCGGCCCTTGAGTCTCGTCGGTCTTGGCTCTGGGAATCGTTCGAATCGTATACCCTTGGAGCTCAGAGGCCTGCCACTTTCTCGGCGAAGCACGTTTGAGTACGACGCAGGAGGCCAGCCAGGCCAGCCTCACAAACAGAGCTTCAATTCTTAGAGTGAACAGTCGCACCATGACAAGCTTAGGACCCGTCACCTGTTTTGCTCTTCATGATGCGTCGTGCAAAACAAGTTCTTCGCTTTGGGAGCAGCGTGTGGATCTATGTGGAGTCTTGTGTGCGAGTATAGAGGCGCATACGGTTCAAGTCCACGCGCACTCCGTGGAGCCGGCACTCCGCAAGGCCGCGCAGCAAAGCCTTAAGACGCTTCTACGATCTGCTAAGGGGCTGAGCTATACCTATGGACCTCAAAAGCGTCTCACCCCCTCGCTCACGCACTTATTCAGGGTTCACTCCATGTCCTGACGCACTCCGCTCGCTTATTATTTAGTTGTGGTAGTATGCGAATCTTTCCAGACGTTTCTGCTGGCGAAAACTCCGCGAATTCTGCCCACTCGTAGTGGTAAGTAACTGTTCAACCAGAGGCCGTTGTGGTTCCACGGCGGGCGGCTTCTGCAGTGGCGGCATCAAGGCCAGAACCGGCCCCAAGCCGTTCGCAGCACGGGCGCGTGAAGAGCAAGAAATATGTTCCTTGGTTGCCTGGTTCGTATTTTCAAGTTATTTTTTGAGGTCACCTCCAAGCGGAAAGGCTTAGCAGCCTAGCTGTGCAAAGGACCGACTTGCTGGTCGCCTATCCAGAAAACTCCTTTTTCATGTTGCACGTTTTTCGTTGCAGACTTTCTGACCAAGGTGGCCCAGGTGGATTTCCTGTTCGGTGGGAAGAAAAGGCAGGGTTGAGAGTTACAGCAACAGTTTGTTCCAAGTCCTCCTCTCCATGACGAGCCAGTGCCACGCGGGAGTTTGCAAGAAACAGTAGTTCACTTTGGTGAAAATCCTGCTCAAGATCCACTTCTATCCCCGCAACAACGATGGGAGGTGCCGCGGGCCCAGGAATCCGGTGGGGCCGCGGTCGCCACGACTGCTCGGCTGCAACATGGCACCTTCCTGGGTGTGCCTGGGCCGACAATCTTTTCGGAAAATATTTTATATTTTTTTCTGCGCTTTCGTTTTCTGAGTCACTTGAGGGGGTGCCGAGGGCTCAAGGCTCGGGAGGATGTGTCGGAGGATAAGACGTTACACAGACGCAGATCCGAAAATCCCAGCCCAGCAAGCTTGCCGTCAATCGTGGAAGTAACCGAGCCCAAGGGAGCAACAAGCATGGCCAATGAATTGTGGAGCTTGATTTGTCTGGCTCTGTAGATCTCAAGCGCCCACCTCCAACGTGGATAGCAGCCATACCATGCGTGACCTTAACCCGGGAATTGAATTGACCCATCCAGCCTGAGAATATCTCCCGCCCTGGGTTCGCAATAGCGTGTCCTTGCCAGTTCTCGCCTCCCCCCAACGGTGTCACTTCCCAGGTGGCGCGACTTGGATGAGAAGAAGCAAATGGCGTACTTCGACAGCGCTGAGAACTGGGTCACTAAAGCCGACATTGAAAGAGCTGCATGTGGCAGGGGCAGGTCCCCCGCACGAGAGGCTGGGTCGAAGCGCTTGCAAATTGGGTTTGAGTAAAAAACTCGGAGTGAAGATTTATGAGCTGGAGGCCCTATTGATTAGATTCGTCATAAAGCGATAAGGAGTAATATTTAACGATAAAGTTTCTGTGCCAAGTACGGTGGGGATGCAACGTGAAACATCGAAGGATCATGGGCAATGCAGGATTTATGTCATCAACTCTAGTGCTCTCTCAGGTCCCCACCCTCAATTAAGGATCCTATGATGTATTCCTCGCCGCTCCACGATGAGATTGCCGCAAAAGTTTAATACCTGGAATGGGGTTTCGGGTTCATAATATCTACAACCCCGTAAACGCGCGATGTCCCTGCAGCCCGAGCCCTCTTACGATCGTAGAAAGACTAGCAAAAGTAAAAAATATAACAACAAGCTTACAAAACTCTTCAGGAGACTCGTAAAACTCTACAGACCCTGCCAATGAACATCTCATAATTACAGCCCTCTGAAATGCCCGCGACAACATCAACCACCCCCTTAAGGAATGCTTGGTGCACCAAACCCCCAAGCCCTAAACTCACAAGCCCTAAGCTACCCCCGAAACCCTAAATCCTCACTCCTAAACCCTACGCCCTTAACGTGAAACCATAAACCCTGAGCCGCGTGAAGGACCCTCATCCCTGACAGTGTCCTCTGGAGTCCTCTCGGCCGATGATGTGGGCAAGCTCACCCTCGCGTCGGGGACTTCTCCTGAGCCTTTGGAACAGACACGTCTGGGTCAGTGGTTTTCGATGAAGGCATGGTGCTGCCCCCCAAAAATGCAGCTTTGTTGGCTTCGTGAACTTGGATGATGGCAAATGAAATTTCGACACCTGCTCCTGATGCTGGGATGAAAGCACCTGCCGAAGCTACGGACAGGCTTTGGTTTCGGGGCTTGGCCTTTGGCACAGGCACGCCTGGGTCAGTGGTCTTCGGCTTCAGTGCATGGCCTCCTGCACAATCCTGCGGCCTTGGCCAACTCGGCAGCAGCTCAACCTGACCTTTGACAAGCCGAGGGCTGAATGCTTTATTGATGACGAGTGACGTCCGCCGACGGGACAACGATCCCTTTGCAAAGATGGCCCACTCTTTCTGCCGCGCCGGATAAACATCCCAGAGTTCCTTGCTACCGAATAGTCTGGGGCCGAATTCAATGTTCTGGAGCAGTCTGTCCTAACACGCGTGTCCGTTGTAGAAGCTTGCGCAAAGCAATTGCATCTCGTTAATCAGACAGCGGTCTTTGAAGCCTGCTGGCACGTCTGGCAGTAGGGCTAGCATGCGAAGCACTCCACAGCTGTAAAGCTGCGTTGTTGTCGGGCTGCATCCTGATTAAGTCACTCCGTGTTTGCCACGCTGGCTTCAGGCTTCAGCCTGCCAACTCGTACCAAATACATCCGCAAAGACGCCGGCATACAGCTTCCCCCCGATTCATGCAACAAGTTGCGACACTGTTGTCCCATAATTTCTGGGCCGGGAGCCGTCATGGAGGTTTTATCAGGACAAGGGCCGCTGCGCGCACTTTGCGGTTTCTGGAGATGTCCGGAAAGCTTTGAGATTTCAGCTGTGAGTTAAGGACTTGTCGTTGGGGCAACATCTCGAGACCAAAGCAACGGCAACGAATCGTACATCTTAGCACTGGGGCACCACTTCACGGAAAGCTGCAAAAGGCGTGGAACGCTTTCCACGCGTGTGCCAGATCCTTCACTAGCTGCACGTTGCGGAGCGCCTGCGGCGCACAGACATGGTATACTGGAGTGGCCACAAGTCCATAACACTATTGAGCAGGAGTCTGGTGCCCGTACTAAAGAAGCAATGCGTGCGTGCCCACCCCTCTCAAGCTGAGGACATCGGCGTAGTCCACAGGATGTACGACTTGTTGCGGCTGCTTTGGTCTTGAAGCCGTTCCCCAGTACTGAGATTTACGACTTGTTGCCGTTGCTTTAGTCTCGAAGTGGTGCCCCCTAGTGCTAAGATGCACGATTTGTTGCCGTTGTTTCAGGATGTGTGATTTGTTGCAGTTGGTTTGGTCTTGAGGTGGTGCCCCAATGTCAAGAAGTACGATTTGTTGTCGTTGCTTTGGCCTCGAAGTGGTGCCCCAGTGCCAAGATGTACTATTTGATGTTGCCGTTGCGTTGGTCTCGGAGTGGTGTGTTGCCCCGGTGCTGAGATGTGCGATTTCTCGCCTTTTTGTGGTGTCCTAATGCTGAGATGTGCGATTTGTTGCCGTTGCTTTGGTCTCGAGGTGGTGCCCCGGTGCTAATAAGCACGATTTGTTGTAGTTGCTTTGGTCTCGAAGGGGTGCCCTAATGCAAAAATGTGTAGTTTTTGTTGTTGCTTCGGTCTCGAATTGGTGCCTCATTGCTACGATGAGCGATTTGTTGCCGTTGCTTTGGTCTCGAAGTGGTGCCCCAATACTACGATGAAAGGAACTGTTGCCGTTGCTTTGGTCTTCAAGTGCCGCAGCGCTAAGATGTGCGATTTGTTGCCGTTGCTTTGGTATCGAAGCGGTGCCCCCAATGCTAAGAAGTACGATGTGTTGCCATTGTTTCGATCTCGAAACTGGTGCTCCACTGCGAGGATGTACGAATTGTTGCTGCGGTCTTGATGTGGTGATTCAATGCCAAGATGGTCGATTTGTTGCCGTTGCTTTGGTCTCGAAGTAGTGCCCCAATTTTAAGATGCACGATATTTTGATGCTGCTTGGGTCTCGAAGTGGTGCCCCAATGCTATGATGTACGATGTGTTGCCGTTGCTTTGGTCTTGAAGTGGCGCCCTAGTTCTACGATGCTCGATTTGTTGCCGTAGCCTTGGTCTCGAAGTGGTGCCCCAATGCTAGAAGTAGTGCTCAAAAGTACGATTTGTTGCCGTTGTTTTGGCCTCGAAGTGGTGCCCCAGTGCTAAAACATACCATGTGTTGTCGTTGCTTTGCTCTCGAAGTGGTGCCCCAGTGCTAAGAAGTACGATTTATTGCCGTTGGTTTGGTATTTAAGTGGTGCCCTAGTACGAAGACGTAGGATCGGTTGCCGTTGTTTTTGTGTCGAAGTGATGCCCCAGTGCTAAGATGTGCGATTTGTTGTCGTTACATTGGTCTGTTGTTCCCTGAATGCTAAGAAAAACGATTTGCTGCTGTCGCTTTGATGTTTCTAATGCTAGGATGTACAATTCGATTCTGTTGCTTTGCTTTCGAATGGTGCCCTAATGCTAAGATGTACGATTTATTGCCGTTGCTTTGGTGTCGAAGTGATGCCCCAGTGCTAAGATGTACGACTTGTTGTCGTTATATTGGTCTGTTGTTACCCCAATGCTAAGAAAAACGATTTGCTGCTGTTGCTTTGGTGTTCCTAATGCTAGGGTGTACAATTCGTTTCTGTTGGTTTGATTTCGAATGGTGCCCTGATGCTAAGATGTACGATTTGTTGCCGTTGCTTTGGTGTCGAAGTGATGCCCCAGTGCTAAGATGTATGATTTGTTGGCGCTGCTTTGGTCTCGAAGCGGTGCCCCAATGCTTAGATGTACGATTTGTTGCCGTTGCTCTGGTCTCGAAGTGGTACGCCAAGGCTAAGATGGGATTTGTTGCCGTTGCTTTGGTCTCGAAGTGGTGCCCTAGTGCTACGAAGTAAGTACGATGTATTTTCGTTGCTTTGTCTCGAAGTGGTGCCCCACTGCCAAGCGAAGATATACGTTTTGTTGTCGTTGCTTTGGTTTCGAAGTGGTGCTCTAATGCTAAGAGCGGTTATTCATTTCCGTTGTTTTGGTTTCGAGGTGGTGCCCCAATGCTAAGATGTACGATTTGTTGCTGTTGTTTTGGTTTGGAAGTGGGGTCCCATTGCTAAGTTGTGCGATTTGTTGTTGGTTTGGTCCCGAAGTGGTCCCCCCAATGCGAAGATATACGATTTGTTGTTATTGATTTGGTCTTGAAGTGATGCTAAGATATTCGATTTGTTGCCGTTGCTTTGGTCTGGAATATTTAAGCGGTATCCCAGTGCGTAGGATTTGCTGCCATTGCTTTGATTTCGAAGTGGTGCCCTTATGCTAAGATTCACGATTAGTTGCCGTTGCTTTCGTCTGGAAGTGGTGGCTCATTACCAAGAGGTGCGATGTGTTGCCGGTATTTAAGTGGTGCCCTAATACGAGGACGCGGGACTTGATGCCGCCCAGTGCTAAGATAGGTGCTTTATTTCTTTTGTTTTGGTATGGAATTGATACCCTAGTGCGAAGATGCTCGATTTGTTGACATTGCTTTGGTCTCGAATTGGCGCCCCAATGCTAAGATAAACGATTGGTCGTCGTTGCTTTGGCTTCGAAGTGGCACCCCAGCGCTGAGATATACGATTTGTTGTCGTTGTTTTAGTCTGAAGTGGTACCCCCCAGTGTTGAGATGCACGAATTGTTGCCGTTGGTCTGGTCTTGAAATGGTGCCCCACTGTTAAAATGTGCGATTTGTTGGCGTTGGTTTGGTTTCGAAATGGTGCCTCAATATTGAGAAAAACGATTTATTGGTCTCGAAACGGGGCCTTATTATAAATCTTTTCGTGCCGGCTTGATTATAAATCTCGACAATATTGTACGAGAGAGGCCTTGTCGTGCTAGTGGCGTTGCAAAATAATATTGTATTATACATTTTTTCGTGGGAGGGATGCCCGGCCCGATTAACTATAAATTAGAATATTTCGGAGTGCGAAAGGGATAAGAGGTCCTAATTTTTGTATTATACAAGTTCAAAATATTGGGATCTTTCATAATTTTGAATTTCTAGGATACGAAAACCACGAGAGGTCCTATTATTTTGAAGCTATAGGAGCTCAAAACTATGGAAAGTCGCACTAAGGCTAATATTTGAAGCGTCTCTAGGTTCACGCTCCCCGGAGACCTCCTAGAATATTGGTTTGATTGGTTTCTAAACTTGAAACTTTCAAATTGTTAGGAGTTTTCATATTTTTGGGATTCTGGAGCGCGAGAAAGTATTGAGAGATTTCAATATTTTATGCTATACGGGTCCAAAATATTGGGACCTCTCATGGTTTGATGATTCTATGACGCGAAAATTTTTAAAGGTCCCAATATATTGGATTCCCATATATCTAAAATATTGGGATCTCGTATAATTTTGAATTTCTGAGATACGAAAATAATGAGAGGTCCCAATGCTTTGAAATTATAAGAACTCAAAATTATGGAAAATCGAACTAAAAGCAAAAAACAATATTTTCAAAGTTTCTAGGAAGTATGAGCCTAGAGACCTTTAGAATATTGGTTTTATTGCTTTTATTGAAATCTTAGAGAATTTTGGGCTTTATACCCTCAAAATAATAGGACTTTTCCATGCTTTTGGGACTCTGGAGTGCGAATATGCTGAGAGGTCGAAATATTTTGTGCTATACAGACTCAAAATATTAAGGTCTCCAATGAATTTGAACCTCCAGGATATGAAATCTATGAATGATCGCAATGATTTGGGATTATTCACGAGAAGACGACCGCGGAATTTGGAGAAAATAGAGCACGATTTCTCATGAACCGAACGTATATATTTTTATTTCTGGAAATAGGCTCTTCGCGGATTATTGCTTTCCTTTCGTGGGACTTTCGCACGTCATTTTTTCCGTTCAGGTCTGCTGTCTCGCGCATTCCATCTGAGTCAGAGTCCAGAATCTCAATCAAGATCTTCCCCTCTCTTTCGGCAGCCACCGCCGTTCCAGCCGTAGGTCCCGTAGGGTCCGCGACGGGTTGCCCAGCTTGGCTCCGGCCCTGTGATTGCAGAAAAAGTTGCCGATTGTCGGGGTGCCTTGTATGTGCAAGTCCATTGCTGTCAACATATGCAGCACCTCACATGGCCCAGGCCTGATACTCTCTGGCAAGATGCCAGCTCGCAGACAGCAAGCACACCACGTTGTTCCCGACGGCGAGCTCGCTGACTACGTCGAATATAAGCCTGATGATCGTGATCACACCGTGGCGTGTGACCCCCAACTGAGCAAAGGCTGCAGCATTGGCGATGCTGTGTCTTGATATATACCCTCGAGCATCCAGGCACCTGACAGGTGCGGCCAGGGCGCACTGCATGCACTCCGTGCTTACCTTTGCCAGTTCTCGAAGGCGGGCCGTGATCATCGCCGTTGCGGTCGCCAGGATGATCAGCTCCAGCAGCACCCATAGATCCAGAGGCCATAGCAGAGGAAAGCATGACCTGAGTGGGGCAGCTTGCACACGTGTGACGGCACTCCCAGGCAGAGCAAGACGCACCATTTCACCGGTGCTGGCTGCAGGCTCACTAATGTAGGCGAGCGATTGCTCCCCTCCCAGGCGCTATGCGTGCAGAGGGTGCATGCGGTTACGCACCAAGCTACGAAATAGCAGCAGCACTCCTATATCTAGAGGGCTGGCCTAGGGCCATCGATCATCTAGACAGGTCAACAGATCCACCACAGATCTACCACGAGTCAGCCACGGGTCCTAAACCAAACAAAGGGGGTTGAGGCAGTGTAGGCATGGCAGTAGGCAGTAGGCGTCTTGAATAGATAGCATGAAGAACCTAGCTCGATCCTCGATCCTGGGCTGGGCTGGGCTACCGAATCAATTGCAGGCACACAGCTGTGATGCTCCGGGCTCTCCAGGCTCTCCCTCTAGAGCATCTGGCGTGGTCCTATACCAAAAACCCAAAACCCTAAACCTTCCCCGGCTTGCTAGCCTCACTCTAAGCATGGCATCGACGTTGGCTGGTGGCTCCTCATTGGAGGAAGATGGTCGCGTCTGTCCCGGTGCGTCCGACTGGCTCCCGAAGAAGCGGCCCAGCTTAGTCTGGCCTTTTCCCTCCGTGGGCCTCCACGCATCCCAAGTGTCCTGCAGGCGATATCCCGCAGACTGCAGGTATTCGATGTGCTCGGCTTTGGTGGTCGATCGGGAACCCACTGTGTACGCTATGAGAATATACCGATCCCCCATCCATGGCAGGGTGCCGTGAAGAAGTCGCTTGCTGTCGAACAGGATTGCTCGTCCCGCCGTAGGGTACCGTATCCCCCAGTAGCGAGTTCCTTCGGATTCCATGACCACGTCACCGGCGTTGTCTTGTTTCCAGAGCTGCCCTCTGTCATGATGGGAGAGGCCAATCAACAAACTTGCATTTGTGGCATTGTGCGCATCGTAGTGTGGCTCAGTATGGTTGTTCAGACTCACACTGAGCGACGTCCACTGGTGCTGCGGCAGGATGGCATGAATCAGGATATTGAAGATGCGACTCGCTGCGAGGTAGATTCCGGAGGCCTTAGACAGTCCTCTGAGCCCGCCTTTGCTATATAGTCCAAGTCTGAGGGTCAATCCTCTCGCCACCTCCCGGGGGTCAGTCTCAAAGGGTAAGGCACGCGCCACCTCGCGGGCCGCCGACCAAAGAGAACCGGTTCCCTCCTCAAGAAAGGCCTGAGCGAAAGGCCTGGGCGATGGCCTCGGCCTCGCCACGTGGCCGGAGGAAGGTCGGTGGAGGCAGCTGTGTCAGGCCATCATGCACCGCTTGCTGGGACAAACGCTCCACGTAGTCCATGACCTTGGCCCGCGCCGGCTCTGTAAGGGTAAGTTGCGCCTCCTGCACAAGCTCATTGCACGTGGCGATGGTGATGGAAGGCCGCACACCGTCCGTTTGCGGAATTTGATCCCGTAGGGCGCATAGCAGCTGTGCTTCCTCGTAGGCCACGGCATAAACATGCTCTGGCATGGCTATCAAGCGGTGCATGCTCCTAAAATGATGCCGATCTAGACACCACGTGCGTGCCGACCCCTTGGCACACACAGGAGCTCAGAGCACTGGAGCCAGCGCAAGAGACACCGGGCTGCAAGGAGTGCGCTCACAGTGCACAGGAATGCGAAATGAAGCAGGCTGAGTGTCAGACTGGCAGAGCTAACGGATGCAGCGCTCCCTACGCGCTGCAAGGGCCGACCTGGGCCCGTCTCCTGTTGCTGAAAGCTCTGCGGAAATAAACAACATGCAGTTGGCGAAGAGGATGGAAGTCGATGCATGCCAAGCGCACGCACACACTAAGAAACTGAAAAAGAGTTGCTCACATGCAGTGTTTGATGCAGGCAGAACACGCACTTCGGCGGTGCCAAACTCTTATCGGCAGGGAGGGTTGTGATTGTGGGCCCTCCCTGCTGGCCCGGAACGTGCTACAGGCTCCTGATCATCACGTCGGAGCTGTATTTGCTGAAGCTGTTGGATGCCCTGCGCTAAAAGCTTGAAGCTCCCCTGGGCATCTCTCTCCTCTACAACAGGTGGTAGTTCTCTTCCCCTTGCCGTAGTTCCCCCATTGCCTCGGGACTTTCCTATAGCATCACTCTGGCTGCCATCTCCGAAGTTCACTGAGGTGGCCTTGGGAACAGAGTCTCCCAACCCTGTACTGTCACGTCCTGGTAGAGAGCCAGGTCCACGCGGGGAGGTTCCCCTTACCCAATTTCCTTACCAGATGCCGTAAGGAACGACGTCGCAACGTATCCTCTCTCCACGTCATCACCATCAGGTCCCTGGACTCCCCTGGCACTCGGTCCCGTTCCCGCCTCCAATATTTCAATCAATATCTTCTTCAATTCCTGGTCCTCAATCTGCAAGGAGGATACTTGATTATCCCTTGCTTGCATCGTCATCTACACTTGCCTCCGAATTTCTTCCTGAACCACCTCCGCAGGCAAGGACCCCGTAGACGAAGGAGCCCTCTCAGGATTCTGCCGGTAATTGGGGTAGGCTCCGTTCAGGCATCATCTGCTGTTCCGGGACTTCAGGTAGTTCAGGTGGGATTTGCTGCCAAGTAGAGCTCTGAGAGTATCATGAGGTTGGAGATAGGCCCTTACCCTGAAGAAAGCTCCGTAGTCTACTAAACCAAACCACCTGCTCGGTCGTATGCTCCACCAAGCTAGTCTCGCTCCCCGGGGTCGTCAATCCTGGCGTTCCTTCACTCGCGCCCTGTAATATCCTTGTCGCCCGGGTATGAAGTGCTGAGACTAGTGCCGCGCGCTGCTCGGCCAGCTGAACCTATACATGATACGTATTATCTGCCATTGCACACTGAGATTACGGCCACCCGCCTGGTTCACAGACGCTGGAGCTACTACCGTAGTTATAATAGATTTCGTGGTCGGCGCTTGCAGAGGGAGAATCAAAAGCGGATTCCCTGCAAGTTGGAAGGCTGGAGCTTGCTGCACAGAATGCTGCGGTGCTGAAGCTTGCTGTACTTGCTAGGAAGCTGGGATATGCTGCCTAATGGACTACGATGCTTGTTGTACGGAGGGCTGCAGTGCTGAAGCTTGGTGTGCGGAAGGCTGCGGTGCTGAAGCTTGCTGTGCTGAAGGCTATGTGCTGAAGCTTGCTGCGCCTGCGGCTGCGGGGCCGGAGCTTGCTGGGTTGCCTGAAGCCCCAAATCTTCGCCCTGATCATCCCCTCGTGACGTCGCGCCCGGATCCGGTTCCCCATTCGGGCCCATTCCGGTTACGTTACGCCTCCTCAGAATTCCATAAGTAAGATCAGATCCGCCACCAGTCGAAACCAACATTACACCTTCCACACAAATCATCTCTATGGTCGATATGGTTGCTGTCGGTCCATATCCATACAGAACCTATTACCTTCCTCCCCATTAAGAAGACCTAAGATCTTAAAAATATTCTCGCCCCAGATCCATTACCTCCTATTACTTCAATTCCTTCAGAAATAATATCTCCGTAGTTAGGGATCGTTGGCGCCTAACCTCTTCTATCTACACCAATCAACGTAGAATGAACGCTCGATGCGATAGTTGAAAGTAGGCTCCAATTTTTTAGAGAGATTCGATATCTTCTTGAAAAATTAATAAATATTTAAGTAGAAAAAGCCATGACTTTGAATCAATGATTTTCCTTCGAAATATATGAATCTACGAGTGCTAGCTTCTACTACTAACGTATACAAATTATATTGCCTTCTTCAAAATCCTATAAGATGAAATCTATTACATAATTATTTTCGTAGATACTTATATTCATTTCGTAGATCCATCGTAGATCTTTCGTAGACACGTAATTTAAATATTAAAAGTCGCTTTATATAAATACCACAGAAAGATCTTTAGACCAATACTCATAATATAAAAAATCGAAGGTATATAAAAGATCCTACCGCGAACGCCATAGAACATACTCGGACATATAAAAGATCACAAAAAATTCCTCACACCCCGCAAGACACACAGACCCCACAAACCCACAAATCCCGCAAATACTACAAACACCACAATAGCAGAACGCAGCGTAATAAACACCAAGAACGCATCATAAATATTCGTAATATTTTTGGCCGGGGAGTCTCGTCTAAAATCTTCGTATAGCCCACAAACCCCGCAAACCCCAAAAACCCCGCAGACCCCACAAAACCCCTCAGACCCCACGCACCCCACAGAACATACAGACCCCACAAACCCCGCAGACACTACAAACACCACAAAACCCTGCTATTCCGCAGATCCCACAAACCCTCAACAGCCCACAGACCCCACAAACGCAATAGCAGAACGTAGCACAGTGAGCACAATTCGGGTGGTCGGTGGGGGGCTCCCAAAATGTGGGGCTCCCAAAATGTTCGGAACACTTAGAGCCTCTAGCTTTTCGAAGGGCTCTAATTAAATGTGCACAACATGGTCTTCTACAAGAGTGCCTGGCGCTTACCCGGTGCTTGTTTCTGCTTGATCACAGTCTTCTTGCGTGCTCAAGTGGTGCCGCGGCCAGGAGGATGACGTGCCGGACACTCACGGCATCTTGCAACGAAGCCCGAGCTGGCTGCAGTGGCTGCAAAACAACACCCCCCAGGCTGCACATGGTTCCTTCTGGATGCAAGGAGCTATCCTGTCTGGAGCTTGATTTATAAGGTGCAAGCAAGAGACACGAAAGTCACTAAGTTGTCTCTGCTAGAAGCTGACAGAAGTGACTGGAGGTGGCGAGCGCGTCGTCGATCAGTGCCGTGCAGCTGCCTCCGTCTCCGAGGCGAGGCTCGCGCGACGTCTCGCGAACCATCGGCTTGTCGCCCAATGCTTGGGTTTTCCGCCTGTGCGCACCGCCCTTCAGGAGGAGGTGATCAGTGACAGCACGGGCCAGGCCTGGCCAGAGTCTGGCGCAGTCTGCCGGTCCGCCGAGCGGCCAAAGTCCAAAGTCTGCTCCGGCCCGCCGATCGACTTGCTCCGATCAGCTGCGAGGAATTCTCGTGTGCGCTTCTGACAGTCGAGATCTCAAGCACCGTCCTGCAGCACACTTCGCCTCACATTGGGACTTGAGGCTTCCGGTCCGAGTCTCGGGTTGCAGATCTGGCGATGCGACACGCAGACGCACAGCTCTGAGCAGCTGCACAAAAAAGCTTCAGGTGGGTCGCAGAACTGGTGGGCCGGAGCCTTGTCTGCTTCGAGGAATGCCCGGCTTGGGCTTGTGCCAACCCGCCTGAATCGTGTTGAAGTTGAGAGACCTGGACCCTTCCATCCCCTTCTTCGTTCTGCGTTCCACAGAAACACCAAGGTCCTGCTGATATTTGCAGCGGTCCTTGCCCTCTGCTGCAAGAGCCCAAGGAATCGTCGCGAAGCAGCGTGAAGACGGAAGGCATGACGGAGGCGGAAGAGGCGGAAGACTGAAGACCCCACAAGTTAACACGAGCTTGGTAATTTGGTTCTTGGTGCATCGGCATTGTCGTAAGGTTAGTTGTTAAGCTGCCACGTCCTTAACAATCGTTCAAACAATGTCGGCTGTCGGCGCTCCCTTATCGCAATTTCAATGAGTCGTGTAGAGTCAGTGTAGAGCCGATGCACAGTTGCAGAGAGAAGCACATGGGTTGGAATGCACCATAAAGCCTGAGCATAGGTTGGGCCTGCAACCACGCCTCCTGGTACTACTACGACGAGATTGACCAAGTCTCAGTCGCGCAGGTTGAGACATTGAGACGTATGAGTAGGGGAGTCAAATCCATGCAGCATGTCATCGCCTCCCCGACTGGCAAGAAGACCGTTGCGAGCGCCCCGAGTGATAGGATGTTGGGTGAGTGCGCCGCGTGCGCAAGCTCTGAGTTGCATGCCTCGGCCGGCGCTTTTGCAATCAAGGGCTTATAAGCCAGTCTAGAATTAGTTTCAGGAAATGATACAACTCATTAGCCTTCAGAGGTCACGGCTATTCACGGCTCGAGATCACCCCAAGCTCCTCAATGAAGCCGAGTTCTCATTCAGTGTTGGTGCCTTCGTTCCAGGTCCCTCGCTAGGCTCCGTCGCAACCGTCACCACTTTCCGGGGGTGTTTCAAGCATAGACACGCTGTCCGTCGAGCTGGGAGCGCAACCTCTTCAGCCTTGATGGCACAGGTTCAAACCCGTTTCTGCATGCGGACCGCGTTCATGCCCAAGGACTACTTCCTTTTCTCGTTGGTGTATCTGGTCTTGAAAAAGGCGAGGTATCGGTTGAAAGTTCGTCCGGTCTGCCGAGCACCACATGCAATCACAGTCAGTTGCTTTGACTTGCGAGTGTTGCCGCTGGAGTGTTTGCCGAGCACCACATGCAATGACAGTCAGCTGCTTTGACTTGAAATTCCTGTCACGGTGGCTCCCAGGCACTTTAGGCTCCCAGATTTCAGTCAGTTCCACTGAGGTTTTGAACACCTGCCGACGGCCGCCGCGGCTCTTCGTGAAGGCAAGCCGCCAGTTTTGCATGCACCTGCGGAGTGTTGCATGCATGCCTGGAGTGTTTGCCTGTGGTGCTTCCCATACGAAGACACCTCTTCATGCCACTGGCCGGGCATGGGACTCCCGGGACTGGTCGTCTGCCACAGTTGGCCCGCTATCGCGACAGTCACAGTGGCCGAGACCCTTGGGGCCAACCAATCCACGGAAGGGATTGATGACAGCCAGGCGATGCGCTAATGCGCTGGCTGGGGGTCAGGGAGTGGCGGCACGGGGGATAGCTCCGGGACAGACCGGCTTTCGTCCGTAAACAGTCCCCGGCATGCATGGGAGGCTGTTCGTTGCTGCTTTTTGCTTTCCCGCGAGGTTTCATGTCATTTCGAATCTGGGTCGATGTCCTTACCCACAGTGAAAACTGAACACCGTTGGCCGGGTGTTGGGACTGATGTGCCACGTTCCTGTTTCTGGCCAACCCACAGAACTTCTGTGGATGACAACAGAACAAATGGGCTAATGCGTCTGTTGGGCAGGATCCTGTGCTCACCCGTGTCGACGATCCTCTCCCCCTGACCGTGCGGCCGGCGGTCACATAGGGGTGCAAGCTTGCCGAGCGGGGACAGCGCCAGTGCCCTGTCGCCCACTTGGGGTGGCAGGGGAGGCCCTTGGATCATTGGATCCAATGACAACTGTATTGTCGCAGACTGTGTAGTAGTAGTAGACTAATGACGCCTTCATGGTCACATCAAATTTTCAATTAATTGTTGATTCATGATGATTGCTTCCAACCAACCACGGTGTCATGGATTGATTTATAGCTCGCGGATTGGTTGGGAAGAAGGATGCCAACTTATTATTATTATGTAGGACGACATTGACTGAGAACCGAAGGCCGTAAGTTAAACCCTGGGCCCTTCGAATCAGAGTCTAATCAGCAGCAGCCTTGACCTGACCTGTGCAGCGGGCTGGCCGAGGGGGCCCTAGAGACCTGCCAGGTTCCACCTTGTGGCCGTTGGTGGGGGCAGCGATCCATCCGCCGGAGCTTGTTGATGCCACACGCCTGCGTGGCCTCTCGTGGCGGCCACCCTTGAGGCCAACGCCCCAAAGCCCGGGGGTATGACAGCGGGGCGATGCGCTATGCGCCCGCTGGGGGTGGCCTCAACGGAGGACGGTGCGTCCGGACCTCCCCGGGGGGATCCAAAGAGGGAGGCCTAATAATGGATAGTAGGCCGAGAGGTTCGGAGCCTGGCTCTTAGTCTCGGCCTCAGTCCTGCCTGTTTTCAATTTGACTGTTAGTTATTAGTCGGCGTCAAGTAGTATTGAAGTCCGGATAGTAGACCGAGAGGTTCGGAGCCTCGCTCCTAGTCTCGGCCTCAATCCGGTGGTCCTGCCTGTCACTGTCTTCATTAGTCGGCGTTAAGTAGTACTGACCGCTGCGACAGTCAGCAGCTTTCACTTTAAAGGCTCCCAGGCACTTTAGGCTCCCAGGGACTTTAGGCTCCAAGGTTTCAGTCAGTTCCACTGAGGTTTTGAACACCTGCCGACGGCCGCCTCCGCTGCTTCTGCTTCTGCTGTCACAGAGTCACTTGGCCCAGGTGGATCGGTGCCCGGAGCTGGATGGATACTTGCCACGGACCGAGTCAGCGGGGCTGCGAGAATAGCCCACACAACGCTCCTGCGCTCCGCTCGGCTTCGCTCGGCTCAGGCCTTTTCAGTGGTGCTTCGGTGCCCGGCAGAGCTTCGCCAAGCTGCAGGCGAGGCCCTGTGAGGCCCTGTGAGGCTGTGAGGCCCTGAGGCCCTGGCTCCGCGGAGCCTCCGCTCACGCTGCTCCTCAGTGCTCCTCCCGGTCCGCAGGGGAGCCTGCGTGACCGGACCTCGAGATCCGCGGGAGTGTCAGCCATCAGAGCTCGGGCGAGAGAGTCGGTCCAGTGCTTCTCTTCACTTCTGCAGGTACGATCCGGAAGATCAGGTGGAAGCTATTCCCGAGTTTTTGTACTTGTAAGTTGGGCTTTTGCCGCCTCGTCTCGTCGCCAGCTCCCGCTCATGGCTCCTGGCGGTCCTGGCGCACCCCAACCCCCGGGGGGGCCGACAGTCGGGCAGCGAGCTCGGCTTCGTGCTCGTTTGAACCTCTCGGAACCTCTCGGAACCTCCTCTCACCTCTCTCTTCTGACTCTTCTGACTCTGACAGGTACATGCCCGTGCCCGCCATTGCACAGTCGCTGCCAACCCAGCAGATGATGGGATCCATGGGGGGCCCAACGGGGGCCTACGACCCTGGCATGCCCTCTGGATTTTCCTCGCCCGGAGCTCCAAGAACCGGAAGAAGAAGACCTTTCAGAAGAGTTGGGCTTCCCTAACGATTAGGTCCTATCAGCCTTCTCCCGGCCTGGGTCCCTACATGGAAGCTCCTCTGCCTCCGACGGTCGGATGCTCGAAGATCTGGGCTTAAAGATTCGCGATTGGCGTTAAAACGAAGGAAGCTGGATATGATCTGGTGACCGTGACGCCGGGCGGATTGCAGGTGGGGGTATTCACCGGTCTGCCCGTGTGAAGTCTGTGGGTTCTGAGGTTACCCCCCTGGGCAACGCGCCTTTGCCTGCCGGAGTTCGGCCCTCAGAGTCGTGGAGTCGTGAGGAGAAGCATTCGCCTCACTTCGTGCCCGCGGAGGTTCCGATCGTGAATCCGGCGCATGTATCCATGCACCAGTTTACGTGAGACGAGAGCTGTGACTGGGTCGCCGTGGGCCGGGAGCTCCAAAGCCAGAGCGATCTTGCCACGCGGTTTTCACCTTTGCAAGCCCGACGAGACGAGAACACGTATGCAGTATGCAGCTTCATTCCGTGCATCTGGCACGAGGAACATGCGCTGTTGGTTCGGCTTTGCACAGAAAGGTACAGTTGTGACCCATTTGCAACTCAGACTCGTGACCTTGGCCAAAGATGCGAGGTCTTGCGAGGGGTTCAATTGCTTTCGAAACGACTAGAGCCAAAATGCTGGAAACAGGTTTTCGACATTTCTGGCTGCCTGATATCATCCTGGCGAGATGTTGCAGCTGCCTATACTGTGATGGCTTGCTATACGCAGGGTTTGGCAAATTAAATTACATGCAATCACTCTCTATGTGTTCTTATTTTCTTTGCAATCATTGACTTAGAAATCCCACCAGCCGCCAAAATCGTCCATGTAGAGGTGCATTGCTGTACCTTGGGTACAAACGGTCATTCCGCAGGATCAGAATCGCAAAATACGGAATCTTCGAAGCCTACAAATGCCGAAACACTGCGCACACCTCACGTGCAGATGCTATGTCATGCTCCCCTCCTGCGGCAGTTGTAACCTTCCAAGACAACGGCAATCTGTACTGTAATATATTCATTTGATGCGAACGGACTGCGATGCCTTGTCAAGTTCTAAGGTGTCACTATAAGAGCTGTGAGCAAGACCGTGTAAAGTGCAAGAGAAGGGGGCACGCTACGCGTCCCTCGACTCTAGGAGTAAGCTTGTGGTCGTGCTACGCACACCGCATCGCTTCTCCTTACCTTTCTATGTGACCGCCCACGCAACGTTTGGCTCAAGTCAATGCCCATAGCTAAGTGCTATATGTGTCTTCTATCCTGAGCAATCAGAGCTATCCCGTGCACAGACGAACCGCCGCCGGCAGCGAGTGCAAAAGGAACGGCCGCCGGTTCTGCCTGCATAGGATTGCACGTGTGGAAGTGTGAGAGAGACAGGGTCCCAGTCTGTGGAGAGTGCAAGCCAGCCACACCTATATTCATTACAGCTCTGGTGGGGAGAGCAGCAACATAATCGAGATCAAATCCCCACGCAGGTTATCAGCCGTACGCGGCTCTGCCTTTCTGCAGCAACGACTACTTGATCTACTACGACCACAATGAACTCGGGATCAAGCCAAGATACGACAATGACTTTCGGTGCCGATGTGGCAGCGCCAGCCGTTGGTGAGTCAACAGCTGATGACACAGTGGTGCAATCTGTTGATAGCTCCACGGAAGATGACAAAGGTCAATCTTCTGCGCTTGCCATTGCAAAGGCAGTTCCCAAGGTGAAAGCAAAGAGTCTACCAAGAGCATCTACGCCTTCGCGTCCGACATCCACAGGTTCGAGGACGGGCAAGGCTCCAGAACGACGAGCCGAAGCGTCTGGTTTTCAGGCACCTCGGACTACGTCCAGGGCCAAGGACAAGGGAGTGAAGACCTTGGAAAAGAAGTCGAGACCATCATCTTCGAGAAGCTCTTCAGCACGATCAAGGACTTCGGCTACTCGTGGGCGTGACAAGTCCATGACATGGAATCGGATGGTTACCAATCAACCACGCGATGCTGACGATCTGGATATGACTCTGGACACTATTCCTGCACGTGGTGATGCGTCATCGGTGACCACGCCAGCCATAGCCGATGGTCCGAATGCCTATCAGGAACTGACGATTTCGCAACAGCTCGAAGCATCGAACCTTGCGCAGCAGATGTACTATCGCAGTCAGATGCAAGAGTACGAAGGAGTTGTCCAGACCCTGATGGATAAGATCAAGGAGATGCAACAAGAAGATGAAGGATCTGGGATTCGCATCGAAGAATTGGAACGACAACGTGACCATGCATGCTTAGCCATGAGGCACATCAACAATGTCAATCAGGAGATGAAGCGAGACTATGAAGCAGCTTTGTTTCGCATGGATGAACAGAACTCTGCTCAACAACGTCAAGCACACGCCGTTGCCGAGGAGTTGGCTCAGCAGCTACATGTGTTTCGCACGGAAGCAGCCACTAACTTTGTGCAGTTGGAGGCAAGAGCGCAAGGCGATGGTGAGCTTATGGCACGTGAGTATGAGCATCTGACTCATGAACTTCATGAACAAGCCAGAGAGAACTTGTTCCTCCGGTCGAACACAGCAAGTTCGGAACAAGCCTTACAAGCAATGCAGGAACGATTCCACCTGGTCAAGAATCAGGAGTTGCGGGCCGTGAACGAGATCCAAGGGCTAGCTGGGAACAGCGCAGCCATTGATCAAGAACGACTTCGGCTTCGCGAACGTCTTGGTGAAGAGGAAGAGTACCGCAAAATGGCTGTGAGGAGGATGCAAGATGCAGAGGACCGACTTCATCAGAATGAAGATCATGCAAGGCGCGCATTGCCTACCTTGCACGACGAGCTGAGTGAACTCAGGAAAACACTCAAAGCACAAGAAGATCTTCAAGCGAGGACACGCAGCGAATTGGAGGCAGCACGGAACTCCAACTACCATGGCGGAGTGACACGGCCTTCGAGCATGCCCATGTCTTCGAGGACTACTGAGTCTGGCTGGGAGCACGTAGGAAAGGAAGTAGTGCCTGCATTTTCCGTAGGAGGTGAGGTACGATCCCCTGAAATACGGTCCCCAAGTCAAGTTAGTCCAGTCGCCAAAGAGAAGTTCGCATTCTCGGAATCGGACAAGGACAAGAACCTTGCGATGGATGGAATTCCATTTACCGGTGGAAACTTCTTCACTGGCCGCATCAAAGGTGAGGTGAATAAATCCTATTCAACGCCAATCGTGGCGGATGCAATGCCCGAGCACTACGTGCCAGGTATTAGCAGCCCAGCACATGCGCGTTCCACGCCTAGTGCAGCCACTCTGTTTGGCATACCAAGCGGATTTCATGGGCAAAGTGATGCGGCAGCCGTGCGTGATCGACAGCTACGTGAACTTTTGGAGGATCGCGGGATGTTGGGATCAAAGTCCACAGCATCTGCCAGCTCCTCAAGACCTGTTGGTATCGACGGCATTATCGCATCTACGAAGGGCAACGACCTCATTGGTGCCCCTGTCGCCTATGACGATTCCATCCATGAGGCAAGGAGGCGTCAGATCGAGAAAGAGGTCGCGGAACGGTACGAAGAGAAGATTGCTGATCTGCGAGGCGAAGTACTCAAGGCCCAGAAAGCCGAACAGCGTCTCAGAGCTGATCGTGATGAGTGGAGATTATTCGCTGAAACGATTCAGGAAGACAATGGAGACGATGACGGTGATGAAGCTGGTGACGAGAACGGAGAGGGAGAGCATGATGAAGGAGCCGGCACAGGGTATGACCCTCCAGATCCGCCTGATGATGACGATGATGATAAGAAGAGAAGCGGTGGAGGCAAACCTGACCCGGATCCTGACCCTCATGCGCGTGATCCTGATGGAGACGCAGATCCTGAAGTCACAGAGGTGAGAATTTCCAGGAGGGAGGCAGATAAAGTGACCGTTCCTCCATGGCCTACTCTCACTCACCTCAACAACTGGCGATCCGTATGCACGGCGAATGTCTTAGGAGCATCAGCCGACCCAAATCATGAGGACTGGATGTTATGGCTGGCACCAGCATTCAATCCATTCCCTGATGTCGAAGCACTGAACGATTCGGGACACAAGAAGTTCAAGAGCGTAGACGTCAAATTGGGGATCGCCATGGTCGCAATGCTACGCGCTGGTGGTGACAAATCTGCTGATCTGTACCTGGAGGTGAACCGGAAGGCCAACGATTACATCAGCAGGCCCGAAGGGAAGATCATCAAAGGACGACAAATCATTGCGATGATGTATGAAAGTTTTCGAACGCACGATCGTCTCGACATGATCATCACTCTCGAGTATCTGGTGAAGCTCCAGTACCAAGGCGACAACAAACTTCATACGTTCAAGCAGACGTGGTTGGAAGTTCTGGGACGGATGAGGCCAGAAGACATACCATCCAAAACAGCTCTCCGTGATTGCTTGTACAGCAAGATCAAGGACTCGCCCGCAATGAAGATGGAGTTGGGCATGCACTACGAACACTTGCCCTACAATCATGAAGACCGATCGTACGACAATCTGATGAAGATCATCGACCGTACCATCATGCGGAGACGAGAACAATCAAATCTCACTCAGACCCAAATTGGTTTGCGCCAGATGCTTGAGGGCAAGGATTTGCTCGCTGCACCGGCCAAGGTACCTGAGAAACCAACGCCTAACGCAGCTCCATCCGCAAAGGTCAAAGCTTCGCCTACCAAGCCGGATAAAGCAACACCTGTACTACCTCAAAGCAAAGCGAAGAGTCATGCGAAGACCAAGCCAAAGCCCAAGAAGAAGACGAGGAGTGAGTCAGCTGACAACAGAGGCGACAAGAGCAAGAAGCAAATCCGCTGCAAGTTCCATTTCACAGATGCAGGGTGTCGAAATGGTGACAAGTGCCCATTCAGTCACTCGAAGAAGACTCCAGAGCGACCCTTTACGCCGAGGACGAGAACTCCAAGTCCGTCTGGAGGAGGAGGAAATAGGATATGCTACTCTTTCAAGAACACAGGCTCGTGCTCAAGAGAGAATTGTCCTTTCAAGCATGAGGCAGCAGCTACCCCAGCTCCGGAACCAAAGGCAAAAGCTAAAGCCAAATCCGAAGCAAAGGCAGCTCCAGCGAAGCCGAATGCCAAGGCCAAGGCACTCCCTGCGGCACCCGCCATCAGATTGTGCCGAAGGTGGAATCCATCAGCCCCGGCTATATGGAAGCGATCTTCAAGACAAGATGAGGAAGAGTCAGATTGTCCATCCGTTGACAGCGACGCTGATTCGGATTGTTCAACTGACGACGAATCCTCGGGACCGACTACGTCGACCCGAAAAGAGATCAAGCGTAACGTGACATTCGCCGACGACGTGAAGTTCATTTCTTCGTGTCCTAGAAGATCGA